TCGGGACTGTCCCGCCCAAATCCGGACGTATGGTCACGTTAGCCATAGGCCATGATGAAGCCAATATATAAATATTCTATTATAAAATTTTAACCTAACCATACTTACCAATTGGTTCCTCAACATAAAATTTTGATATACTACTTTTTATGCTATATTTCTATTAATGATGTCCTCGTTTTCTTTGTTTGCTCTATGAAAAGAGTTTGATTTAATAAACATTAATGTGAACTAAAAGTTAAAATAAATGCGTCACTTTTTGGACGCTCTTCGAATGACTGATTCAATAGCGTCAATTTTTGACAGATTCATCGAAAAATTATAAATTTTATTTGAGAGCTAAAATAACTGTGTATTTTTCTGTTTAAATTGTTGTTTACATACTTATACAGTGGAACCTCTCTCGAACTCGAAGGGAGTGGAAAATAATTCGAGTTATAGAGTTTCGAGTTACAGAGGATTTCGAGTTAGGCGGTAATAGGTTTAGAGTTAGGAGGACGAACAGAAAGGAGAAAGTCAAATAAATATACATGCAAATTCACGTTACATAACTGCTCATCAACATATTTATTCACAAACTATTTGAAGAAATCAGTAATTTGTTTTTGCTTTAAAGTAGGTTGTTCATTATCTATAGCATTATCTAGGATACAGAGCGGAAATTCTTTTCTTCTGATTTGCTTGATTGTTCAAGTGATAGTGAATCAAGTATCTCTTCGTCAGATAATTTTCCCGCAGTCATTACTCATCATCACATGTTATAAAATCGTCAAAACATATTCCAGGTGCTATTGTATTCCATTCCTCAGGAGGTCGTAGAGAATCATCTTCAACTTCTTCGGTTGTTGACGAAGAAAAACCACAGGACCAAAACAGTTTTTATAGTGGCAGCAGTCACTTTACGCCAAGCTTTATCAGTCATCCACATGGCTTGCAATACATCTATGGAAGTTTTTTCTTCATCTAAATCTCGCGCCATTCTTCTGACTACTTCTTGCGATATAACGATTTGAAATTTTTATAATACCTTGATCCATAGGTTGTAATTTCGATGTAGTGTTTGGAGGTAAAAACTCTACTCTTACAGATTTCATCTGTGGGATATCGTTGTGTGCTGTGCAATTATCTATAAACAACAGGATTTTTCGTTTTTCTCTTGTAATTTTCTTATCGATGTCCATGAGCCAGTGTCTGAAGATTGCAGAAGTCATTCATGCTTTAGTATTCGCTTCATATCTTAACGGCAGTGATGAACATTTTGAAAAACAGCGAGGTTTTTTTGATTCACCAATAACAAAAGGTGAGAGTTTTTCTGTGCCTGACATATTCGCAGCAAGTAATATGGTTAAACGCTCTTTGCTTTGTTTTCCTCCATGGCATTTTTCATCTCTAAATGCTAGAGTTTGTCGGGAAGACATTTATAAAATAGAGTGTTTCATCGGCATTGAAGACATTTTCAGGCTCGTAAACGCTTAACAAACCTTTTAATCTTTCATTTATCCATGAATGACAAGTTTCAATATTTACACTCGCACTTTCCCCGCAAACTTTCTTAAAAACAAGGTCATGCCTACGCTTAAACTTTTCCAGCCATCCATTGCTTGCTTTAAAATCAGAAAATCCTAAAGACTTTGAATAAATTTCGTCTTTTTTTGGCAAATTTTTACTGCTTCGAGTACTTGCAGTTTTTCAGCAAGACTCAGAGTTTTAAGTTTACGTTTCACACTCATTGCTTATCAGTTCGTTATAAAACTGTTTTACGGAAGATTGTAGGTAGTGGTCGTAGTTGCAGCTAAAGAGGAATTGAAAATTTGAGCTTTGCATGCTCAGCTTCTTGGAAAAGTCGCAAGTAGCTGCGCGCCAATCAAATCATCAGCTTTGCAAGCTAGTGGGGGAGTGAAAAAACTATAGTCTGCTCTCTCCCTCCACCAGCTTGCAAGTCAAGCTATAGTCAAAATTAATTCAATATTCGAGATAGAGAGGTCTGAGTGTAGGTATTCGAGTTATGGAGTGTAAAAATATACAGAAATAGCTTCTGGCGACTCACTGAGTATTTCGAGTAATAGAGGGTTAAAATTTCGAGTAACGGAGGTTTTACGGCTTGTAGGGAAGGGGATGAAATATTTCTTCGAGTTGGAGAGGTTTTCGACTTATCGAGGTTCGACTTACAGAGGTTCCACTGTATATAATTTTTTCTCATGTCTTGTAACTTGAAAACTAAGTAATTTATTTAAATTTTTTATCCAAACATAATGGCTTTCATTGAAATCATCACTGTATAAAGAAATAAGATTAACGTGATGCGGCTTTTCTTCTTTGGTTAAATAAAAAAGCCCTACTACCAAATTGTCTTCTATACCAAACACGTTTACACTAATATTTGGATTATTCGATTCAAATATTTCAATATCTTTTAGTTGTAATGGGCAATTTAAATTTTCCATTATTTAAAATTATAATGGAATTTTCAATATTTTCAATGTTATATGAAGAACACCTTTGGCTATTTATTGAGGGTTGGTAAAGAGATGAAATTATGGCCCACTTAAAACAATATACATCATTGTTAACAATATTAATACATGCTTTTTTAACTGCAATTATTTTCGGTAGTGGTATATATAATGAGCCTCTAATTGGTTGATATTTATTTATGTTTACTTCTAGATGAATAATTTCACTTAGACTCCAACCACTATCTCGCTCTTGAAATGTGTTCATTTTTTCAATCAATTTACTAAACTTTTCTTTAATTATATCTCCAACATTGCTGTTCTCCATAAATGCTTCAGTAATTAATGTTTGGTGTGACAATATAGCAAATTCTTCAATATTTTTTTTTTATTTGAATATATTTGCAAAATAATTCAAAGTTAAATGTGATGCTTTTATGCTTGTCTATAGATTTCTGTAAAAGTTCAGTTAATTCATTTAGATGTTTTTCAAAAAAATGTTCAATAATTAAATCCTTGGGCTCGTCGTTTTCCAAAACATATGTTTCAATACGATTATTAAACATAGAATTAATACATTTCACATTATTTTTTACACTATACATACAATTTTTTTTATGTATGTTTGTTCTCACGTGTGCTGTCCATTCATTTTTTTTTAGAATCTTGATGTTTCATTGTAATATGCTTGTTCAAACTCCTCTTCCGAACATATGTCTTTTCACAGAAACTACACGGATACATTTTTTGTGAAATAATTGTTTTAGAATCCTGATGTTTCATTGTAATATGCTTGTTCAAACTCCTCTTCCGAACATATGTCTTTTCACAGAAACTACACGG